CGAGCAGCCCTATCGCGGGCCATGTATCGCGAATCGTATCAAATCGTGACCCTGTTATGTCCAGACCTGCGTTCACAAACCAGGATGTTGTGCAAGGCCAATAACGAGGGGAAATAAAATGAGTGCTGAACAGATCTCTGTGTCAACATATACATTAGAGAGTGACAATGCTTTGTCCTGAAGGAACAACATCGACCACAGCTCATTAAACGCTGCACATTGGAGCGTAAGAGTCCGTAATCTGCGGAGCCGCCTTGACCTGAACTCTTCATTCACAGCCCCGTCGCCTCAAAACAAGCATCACTCATTCACAGAGCAGACAGATCAAATCAGAGACCTGCCGCGATTCAGACATGACTCAAATGTTCCAGGCCGTACACACAGCTTTCTAATAACGCCACTTTGTAGATGACTCATTTCTGATGCTTTCTTTGATTCTCTGCAAATTTGTAGAGCTTGTGTACACACATGCATTATTAGTCATATATAAAAACTGTCATGAATATTTGGCTGACCAGTAATTGTGAATATTTAATCTGGAATAATCTTTCTGCTATAGCCTCTGAAAGCGGCGTCTGTCTTGTGTCCATGGACCTGCTGGAGATCAAAGCAGGGCTGTAATTAGCAATTCTTTTGATGGATCAATTAGTTGTTTAAATCCATTGAATAAGTGATTTTCTTTATACTTTTGACTAAAACAAGCTTGTTTGATTAAATGTGTTTAATGTTTTGTTTTTTTTACTTTTATTACACAATCCCATCATCATAGCTTTGTTAGAGTCATAAAATATATTAGCTTATCCACAAACTTATTAGCATGTTTTTTTGCAGGCTAAAATAACTTCCTAGTATTGATAATAGTTATAGTTGTTTCATATTTTATCCCCTACGGGCAGAGGAGGCAGAGGAGGTGCGGATCAGCTCTGAATCATTTGCAAACTTCCTAAAAGCCTTGGACCTGGCTCTAGTCTTTCCACAACCTAACAAGCTCCAACGCAACTCAAACTGAAGATCTACGCTCTTTTATCGCTGTTATTATTAGTATTCACTCTGGGTTCTTGGAGTTTAACAACTCTATCGCACATAAATCGTCCTAAAACATTTGCATTAAAATGTCACCTAATTACAAAGGTAATGGAAGTGGAAAGTTACGACTTTATTTCTGTTCCACAAGTAATAGAACATTTCTTCAAACAAGTATAGTAAAGATTGTAGAGATTATAACTTAAAGCTGGGGTACCTGACTTTCAAACCACATAATTCTAACTATGTAATATAATCGACATAACTAGTTACTGCCTCTAAAACTGTTTGGGTCTGTTTGGGTTTTCACATGTATTTCTGTTTAGATCAGCTTTTTCAGACAGAAAAGTGAAAAAGAGAGAACCAATATCACTTGCCAATAAGCTTCAAAAAGTGACATTTTGCATACAAACATATTGCATATTTTCTAATCAAATGAAGACATCATGTTGTAGTCTAATTTGTTCACAACATTTTACTTTTATCTGTCTGTTAATATGAAAAATATATATATATATTATGGAGAAAAAAGTTAGGTGTCCCAGATGTAAAAATAACCTTGCAGTTAAATTTTATACTGCGGAGCATTTTAGAGAAAGCAATAACACCTCTCTGGAGACGAGCACGAAAGATAAGAAGAACATCAGCCTGTCACAATAATGATGAAACAAACAGTACATATGTCTGTATATTTAATTTGTAATACGAGCTGTGGAGGGTTGAATAAATCGCTTTTACGTCTAACTTTTCTAATTACGTTTTTCTCCTCAGCCGTTTAACGTAATTGAATTGAAGAACTACTTTAAAGGGATCATGCTGCTATATTGTAAATGTTTGTTATTGTTTATCGCAGATGTTTTGGCAGCAACAGCAATTCTACTTCAAAAGGTGTTCTTGACTCTGGCATAAAAGTACACCTTTTTGTTGTTAATTAAAGTGAAGGTCAGTTACTTTTTCAAATTGTGGAGATGGAGAGACGTTTTTTTAAAGCAAGCGCCAGTTTTAGACCCGCCCCCGCATGTGTCTGATTGGACGCAATGATTTCAAACTATTCTCCTCCAGAAAATCTTAATGGTTATGTTTATTCCAACTGTACTTATTTTAGATGATACTAAAGGGTCATATGATCAAAAATATGTATTAGTTAGTATATTAACATTAACATTATTTCAAATGAAGTTGCGGATATCACTTTTAATTGTTCTTTTCCTCATTTGCCTTCCACAAACATTGGTGCAGTCTCCCGTGTTTGCTCTATCCTACTTCCCTGCTCCTCTTCCTCCCCCGCAGTACAGCCCTGGGCCAAACCTCCTCGTGGTCTCATCAGTGCCTTTCTACAAAGCGGAAGATCTGGTGTCGGATAAAAACTCAAAAGACATCGGCTGAGCCACAGCTGCGAGCAAAAGGGTAAGAGAAGTGCAGAATATTTCCAGTGTCAAAGTAGAGGTCGATGATGTAGGACTTTGGAAAAATGTGACATAATATTGCTGTCCAAAGCATATCAAAAATACTTTTAATCACAATACTAAAACTGGCATCGGAAGTAGTAAAAATCATGTATGAAGACAAAATGGGTGAGCGATTTTGATTCAAATTAGAACAAGAACCTGTGGTCCCTAAAAATGTTGTATAATTGTTCAAATGTGCAACTTATTGTCCAAAAAACATGTATTTATCATCACGGTTGATATTAAATGGATTTTGTGATTTTAATATCGTGACATGTGACTAGACTGAACTAACCTATCTATTTGTATGTGAAAATCAAGACACCTCTTAGAGAAATCAAAAAGATGTCAATAGAATAGAGCACTCAAAACCTGCCCGTTATTCTTTAGAAAAGCAAATATTAGGTGTCGCTAAGTGGTTCAATCCTACCCTAAAGCAAAGTCTGTATAATCTGTTAACAAAGGAGTAACCGTCGCATTTTTCAGAGAAATTCTATCACATTTCTTAACGTGTCCCTATTCATATAACCTAAAATCTACTATGAAATAAAATGAACTAAAATATGGGTGCAGTACAGCTCCAAAGCAATGTGAATGTAATATAAACCTAGACTAGCGACAAAAGTAGGGCAACTTTATAACAATCAAAACCCTGTCCGATTTCCCGTAGCGGAAAACATTACATTTTAAGTTTGAAATATAACACAATGATTCATTGATCAACTTAACACATTTCTGGTGTTTCACAAGTTCTTCCTGGAGTAATTTATGAGGTTGTTTAATGACTCAACTTTGGCAATTTAGTTTCTTTCTAATATTGCAGCACCCGGGCGATTATCCTGTTCTGAGAAATCCATTGGTCTTATCAGTTCTTGCAACGAGAATCACTGCTTAACAGCTTCTGCATACGCTCACGTATACTTTACCATTCTGTGTAATTCTGACACTTAAGAGGACACTAAATTATGGATTCTCCAATAAAATGGGTAAAACGTCGCCTACTGCTTCTCTTTGGCGATGAAAACTATAATTAGCATAGTTTGAAAAGGTTGTTGAGGATGAAAGAATCCAAACAAACAAGCTGTAAAGACTTCTCCCAGCTTATTTTTAGCTTATCCAGGAGAAAACTGCAGATGCACATATTTCTGCTTGTTGACAAAAACATCGAACAGCGACTACTGTGGATGAAATTTAACCGGGGTAAACTTCCTCTAAGTGACTGCCTTTTTCCGAGAGGACTTCGAAATATGCACTGCAATAGAAAGAAGCCTGTTAATCTATATTGGCCACTTCACCAATTACCGGGAGGACAGGATGTTTCGCTGCTCCTTGACAAATCAGAGCAAAATAGGCCTAGATTTGAACAGGAAGACAACAGCAAGCCATTTGTTGCACACACTAGTTTCTGTTCTCTACACAGAAGTCATGAGAGATGCACAGACTGAAGCCAAGGCACGCAAGGCCTCGCCATGGCCAGAGGTAGAATCAACTTAAGACAACACTGAATATATTTCCATTAAAAATGCATGCAATTTCACGAAAGTTTCATTTTTAGCGTGTTTGGACAATCCCAAAGCAAGTCACTGCAAGTCCAGGACTATTTACGAGAAAACAAAGCCCAGATGAACTGCCAAAGTGAGGCGAGAACTACAAGCTTTATAGTGAAGGCTACAGTATTTCTATGGTAGCCTACAATGTTATACCATAGCGGCAATATTTATATTCTTTTTGCACATATCTATAATTATTACTATTTACAAGTCAAACTAAAAATTAAATTCTTCATACACCTCCTGTACCTGTTAATACCACTACAACTACTAGTACTACTAATATGCATATGTTTTTCTATCTACTATTGCTATTATTAGTGCTACTACATATGAATACTATCTGCTTATAAAACACAGCAATGATTTTAAACACCTTATCAAATAGAAATGATCATTTTTGCATCTTGGATTCACAATATTCGAAAGGCAAAATAGACTGCAAACAATAGGCATATTAGCAAATAATGGTAGTGTATAAAAGTAGTGTCTGGACCCAAAAACTATTACTTATGGGACAGTAGTATGCTGTTCTTTGGAGTCTTGGTCGTCCTGCAATGCAAGAATTATGCAATCTTACTTCATCAAGTCACTTCTGAAACACCCATAAATAAAAGACAGAACGCACAATATGCCCCCTAAATGAGTAAGCAACACCCCAATAATATTGAAAGGCACGCAGCCACGCACTGTCCAAACATCCTGCATGCCGAGATGCTTGGAATTTTAATGTGTAACAAACTTTTCCAGCCTAAAAATAAATACAATCTCCAACGCGACTGGTGTAACGAGTGTCTGGGCCCTTTAAATTTCACACAGATGATAAAGAGCGAAGAAAAGAAAAGTTTTGGGGGCTGATTTTTGTTTTCTCGCTGCGGATTGCCACCGATCGGATTGGCACGTTGTGGATGAGTTTTGTGGTTTACAACAGGCGTATAAATGATTACAATGAAACGCATCACACACACGACATACTTACGTTCTCCCGTTATCTCGGTCGGGCACCCACCGCAGCACGACTAACCAACAAGTCGGACTTCGCATAACGGAAATGTGCCCAAAGCGCGTCCACTTCGAGTCAAAAAAAGCATGAAATAAAAAAGTAGCGATCGAAAAGCGCCCGAGAGCGAAGAGGGTCCATCGGGCGAGGGAAGCAGTCTGCCGTCTCTCTCATGGTGAATGCACGCCTCAAGCTTCTAACGTGGAGAGAGAGCGAGAGAGAGGGAGTAAAAAAAAAAGCTAAGAAAAAGAGAGAAAAAAAGTGGAGCGAACTTGACGCGGAAAAAGTGGCGACTGCTCATTTCCGCCGCGCGCCCTGGACAGCTCCGCGCGCGCACAAAAGCAGCCACCACAGCGCGTGCCGTTTCAAGATAAAAGCACGGCCTACAAAAATATATATATTTATTTATTTTTTATGTTTAGACTTGTTGCTGCGAAAAGTCTGCGCATGATTGATAATACAGTGAGAGGTGTAAAGATTTGTAACAACTATAAAAAGGAAGCATTAAAAGGGGCTTGAGAATATAAAGCTGAGGTGCGTAACTTTTTGGTTTCGCATATCTCGATGTTATTTGTCCCAACGGAAAGAGCTGTGAATGTAAAATGTTAGACCACGACATGCGGTGTGCATCGTGCTTGAAAGCATGGCATTGCATACGCATGAAGGATCCCTGTGAGTCACAATTTGACGCTTTGGACCGAGAGCTCCTTGTCACTGTTATGTCAGAAAAGGCTGCTTGAAATATGTTGCAGATCCAAATTTACATGCATGTGAAAAACAAGTAATATAAACGCACCGTTTTGAGAGCCAACATAGTTTGTATTTTACTAAAAAGTTCCTGTGGTTGAAATGTAGGTGCCCCAGCTTCAATTGCATGTATATATTTTCGAATATTGACAGATAAAGATGAGTTATACAGTAATAACACTAATTAGACCTGTGAAAATGACTCAACTCAAATGGGCTAACTCTAGCTATTAAACTGTTATCAGTAGAGCAGTTTTTATTCTAAATTGGTAAATTACTGTTAAAATTAAATAAATAAAAACTGGATACATACATTTTACCGTTTATGGTACCTGTTCATCCAGGTGCAGCTGTTGCTCTGATCCGGGTGCGTCAGTGTGATATAATATTGTTGCCCAACACCACCTGCTGGTTAACTGGCCGCACTACAGTGAGAATGTGTGTTTTTTTTTTTCTGGGAGACAGAAATGTGCCACTCATACTATAATCTAGCAGATAGAAAATGGACTTTTACAAAGACACACAGAAATGAGTCTCTACCAAAAGGAAACCACAAAACTTTCTACTAGTAGTACTGAAAGTAGCTGTAGTAATAATAGTTGTAATACAGGAAACATATCTAAAAGGCAATATGGCAATTATTTAAACAATGCCGAAATGAAGTCCTGAACATTTAAAAGCCAAGTTTATTGGTATAGCACAGTTAATACTCAAGGCAACTCAAAAAAGCATGTTTAAGCAGAATTCTAATAATCGGTTATATTCAATTATACTTTTTTCATAAATTGTTGTCAGTATAATTATCTTTTTCAATGCAAATGACACCCAACACACAGGAATAAGAGATGTTTATTCAGAGCTGACACGTTCAACATTTGATGAACATGTGATAAGCTAATAATACAGTACCATAGCAATAATTAACACCATTTAAGCAGGAATGTCGCTCTGTAATGTTAGTTAAAAACCAAAGCTTGCCTCAGCTCCGGTAATGAGAAATTGGTACCACGTTTTGTACATTCTCTTTTCAAATACCAACAGTAATTGATTGTAGCGTTATCATAAATACAGACTAAAAACACTGATTTAAACAGATATGAGAGAAAAGGAACAGCAAGAAGATTAAAAGTGCATTGAGAAATCATAAGGCACCATGAAGGCTTTGGGTGAAAACAATTGATAACAATACTGAAATATACAATCATGTTGTTATAACAATATAAATGTCAAGTATTTGTAATTTTTTGATGTAACAACCCTTTTTTTAATGTTTACAAAGTGAAGTAGAATGTCAATAACAATAACATTTAGGGCAGTGTAATCATGAAAATTCTGCACCTAAAGCTAGGGTACCAAACTTTATTATTTAATCATTAATCAACACATTTCATTTGTCCCAACTGAAAGAAGTGTGTAAAAGCAGAATTGTGAACAAATCAGACCACACCATTAGAAAACATATTTTACAGGTGAGCCATAAATTAGTTTGACATTTTAAGTTTTCATTTTAAGAAAAACACTTTGGAAAGTTATTCTTATTTTTTGAAGTGAGGGTGGTCCTCTTTTTTTCACTTTTCTGTCTGAAAATGCTTATCTAGTCAGTAAGATTTCAAACCTGCAGGACTCAATTTCATATATATTCACACGCTTCAGCCACCTATTAGTGATGGAGCCAAACAGTTGTGAGAGCAGTTAAGATTTTAATCCATCGTTCATTTTGTGTGGTATGAAAATTAGGTACCCCAGCTTTAATGGCAAATATGTCATTGTATATAGATATCAGGTCACACATCATGTAAAAAACTAAAAAGTACAAAATGTAACTTAAAAATGTTGCCAGGGCTGGGAATGTGTAGTGTGAATGGAGAACAAAGCATCATCTGGCTGCCGCTAACAGGTGCTAAAAATACCCTCTGAAGTTGCTCGGGGCATGACTTTGTGCTCCCACCACAGTCCCAGCGGTCTTTGGACCATCCTTGGGCATTAGCGATTACCCAGCCTCTGCGGAAAAGTGTCCGGGGAGGCCTGAAGGGATTTTGTTTACGGCCCACGCCAGATCCACTCAGAGCAGGCACATTCCTCTGCATAAGGGCCCCGTGAGTCACGTCCAACTCTGAGCAAGTTCCAACCTCTCCACAAAGCATCAAGAACAGTGGTTTATTATGTTCAGTACATGTTACAAATAAAATTGCACAAAAAAATACATGCTACATTGTTTGTGGATTGTAAGATGTTTGCCTCTCCGCTTGTGGGAGAAGGCTCATAGATCTGACCTGACTCTGCTTGAAGGCATCAGCTTCTTGTGTCCAAACACACAAGTACACAAGTCTGTCCATACAGATACACACGTCTGCTGACATATGTTGGAACATATCGCTACAACATCTCCACAGAGAGAAAGTGCTGCATAGTGGCAATGTTACTATAGTATAAATGTATTCAAATAAACAGACTAAAGTACAATAAAAATGCAACAACAAATAATGACCTGAATAATTTTGTTAATTTCTGATTGAAGAATTTTGTGTCTGATTTGTGGTTTGTAAAGATTATTTTAAAAGTGACGTGAAAATGGTTGAAAAATAGTCAAGGATATGGCAATAAGAAGATCCTCACGAGCGTGATTATACAGTATACTTTAAAAGATGACACATCAGCATAACATTAAAAACAAATCTAAAACGAAGGCATTTTGATGTACACAAGTATGTCTTGTAATTCTTTAGTGTGCTTCAGAGGACACTTGCGTAGGAATGATTACATTATAGGTAAAAAATAAAGTTACTTTGTGGCCTTTATTGGCTCTCGAGCCACTCGGCTCTCAGCTCCTGCACCTCTTGGCCGTACCAGTCATGAAGTTTTGAGAAGCAGCCTGTCCCAGGGGAGAAGGGGCTCTCCAGAGAAGCACCCCTCCTCCGCGGAGGAACAGGGGGCGCTCTCACGCCCTCAGGCCCTGCACTCATGTGAATCCCAGAGTCCTCACTGCCATCCCAGGATGCACAGGACGTTGCCCCCTCGATGGAGCTGGTAGACATGGCAACTGGACCTTTAGTCCACACAACACCGTTCTCTTTGGATGGGCTTTCACCCTGGGAACTCTTTTTTCCAGCGGAAACAGCTGACATGGCCGGAGCGCTGGAGGCAGAGGACAGAGACGAGGAAGAAGAGGATGAAGAAGAAGCACCTGACCGGGAGCGAACAGCCTGGTTTCTCCTGATGGACTTGGGCTTACAAGACTCCTGGATCTCCTCCAGCTGCCTCTCCAGCTCCTTCACCACCAGACGCATGTAGTCAAAGCTGGCTCTGGACAAGGCTTTCACCCATGACTCCATAGCAGCCTGGCTTTCAGATGCCATCTTGTAGATACGAGATTTGGCACAGTCAAACTTTATGGCAAAGGCGAATTCCTCGGCAGACTCACAGAGCTCCACGGTGCATCCCTCCAGGACGATGACACCGATGGGCTCGCGGCTGTCCCGATCGTCAAAGTAGAACAGCATGTTCCCCTTCAGCACACACCAGCGGCGGTGATAAGCCGTGTTTCGCTCACCTTTTTTAAACAAGAAGCCAGTTTTGTCTGGAGGCGAGTCACATGTGGCATAGTGAGCCACACTGCGCTCATTCAGCTTCATCCTGACTCTTCTTCCTCTTTCCACAAGATTTATTTATCTGTGGAAACAGAAGTGTAGTGTCTAACATCAAACTATCCAGACAGCATTCTTTGGTAGATATTTGCTGTCTGTCGTTATTCTAACATAATATCTTCATCCTGTAATACTTCCTCCTCTAAAGTTCAAGATGAAGAAATAAAAAGCATTGATCAGTCTGCAGCAGAGTATGGCCGGAGCTAGCCTCACTGCATTGTACATGATGTACAACAGACTCAACTGAAAATTAAATTCCCATTTTGGGTAGGATCACCCAGGAACATTACTTTTAAATAAACTATGATCTTAATGACTGTAGGCCTACCTTCTAGGGGGAAATAAGATATAAAAAGGAACACAAGGAGCACAGATGAACACTTATTGGATTATATGGTTCACAGTCACATGGAACCCAACAAGAGCCTCGTACACAACCTTAATACCTTAAGAAGCTTGATGAAAATTTAGGACACAAAAGCAGATTTTCTCCCCATAAATAAACCCTATTAGCAAGAACACATGTATTGCGTCACACGACTTACCTGTCACAGCTCTGGTCCACATTGCCCTTACTGAAACATTTGTCCTCCAGCATCAGCCTGAAAAACCAAAACATGTAGGAACATTACAGATGCGCAGTTTCCCCGTCAATGTTTTCGTCACAGGCCATTGACCAAAGTAACATCAGTGTATTTTTAGCGAATCATTGTTCTCGCACGAAATAACTCATTCTGACCAATGCTGAGATCTGCTTCCATCAGCGCTTTAAGTTCACAAAAGCTACAGGCTACCAGCGTCACCACGCATCCATGCTGACACAGGACGTAAAAGGCCTTCTGATAAATAGTTTATTGGTGTAAGTATATGTGTTTTCCTAATCTTCATTCTCAGTCTTACCCGGGGTGGATTGCTCTTTCGGACTCGTCTTCTTTCGGTTGTTTTTTGCTCCTTTTTTCCTCTCCTCCCTTCTTCCCGGCCACGTGACACACATGGGGTGTTTGTAATTCTACCGTGGTGAGCTTGTGTGGGCGGGATTATAAAGTTAAGGCGTGGGGTGAGTCGTTTCGGATGAGTGGGTGAATACAACAGGCGCACCGTGTCTCCCTGGCCTCTGGACACTGCTGCCGTCTGCAGAAACCACCTGCGTCCTTAAAGATGCACCCGGGCTCCAAACAGCTTTAAAAACTATAACACATGAGCAACAACACATGGCATAATTTGGACAAGCAAAACATTCATGTTTTGTTTTTATTCATATTCTGATTACCGGTAACACATTTTATGTTTAAAGATTCATCAAACGTGGAGGTGGGCCTGGCTTAGGTTTCAGGTAGTAAAAATAAAGATGTATCCTATTTTTTGTACTATTGTTCGTGTAATACATACAAAAAACATCTGTCTCTAGTTCAACAGATACAGTAAGTGAAATAAATCAAAAACCGGGGGACACATTTAGGAATTTGCTATTTGCTATAAATACACGAGAGAAATAGCATTCTTATTATTAATAAGATTAAGTGAAGTATGATATTGTTTGAACTCATTCCTCCAATTAATTTAGTTGGATGGATTTTTAAAAACGACATATGTGTATGTAGTGTATAGCTACTAATATAAAATTGTCAACACCAAAGTCAATAAAACTGTTATTAAAAGACATTTCAAGCATTATACAAATAATAAATTGTACAGTACAATTCCTACCCTTGTTGGAAGTCAAACAAGAATCCCTGGACAAATTCTGAGAATGAGAAAAATAAATGATCCAAATCAGATTCAGATTCATTTATGACTTTGTCTCCTGAGGGAGAAATGTGTCTTGGAGTAGCACCCACAGATACAGACATAAAAAAACAGACAATACACACAAAACAGGCAATACACACATAACAAATCCTCTGTCACCAAGTCACAAAATCCACATTAATCCACATCCAATTTAAATCTTGTCTCAGGAAAACGGTAGTAGAATGCTCCATTCAAAATTCCAATTATCAAGAGTTCAAAGACACAACAGAGACTATGTACCTGGTAACTACTATCCACAGAGTTTCAGCCGAAACAAATACCAAAATGTAATTAAAATGTTTTTGGTTTCTTTTGTAGTTTTTGAAAAAAATGAAAAACATACTTATATATGAATGTAGCCCTTGTGTCCATTACTCAACAGACAGATGCTCAGCTTATATGTCTCAAATACTTTTTACATTTTTCAGAATTATTTTTTAATTCCTTTGTCCCCTTTTCAGTAACTGCTCACATTGCCAGATGTTTAAAGGTGAACCGTCAGCAGGAGACACACCCAATGGACTGTGTGTCTGTCAGTTTGTTTTTGGAATGAACCGTCTGGTTTTTACACCTTTTTAACACGAGTGCTGACCCCTCATTTAGATGCCTTGGGCTGAGACTGCCGAGTCTCTTTTATAGTTTTTTTAAAGATGTGAAAAAGGTAAAACAAAAAACATGCAGCTGAAAACTAGTGGAACCCAACTGTTTTGAGAAATAGGAACTAGTTACATAGATTACTACATAGCTCATTTTTTTGTGGTTTGAATTTTAGAAATCCCAGGTTAAAACAGGTTTCTGATTACTATACTTATACACACATTATACATTTACTATACATTTATTAAGCTAATATGTCCTTTATCTTTGTTGCCTTGTAAAAAAAACAAAGTAAATAATTTTCCTCAAATCAACCAGGCTATACTGTAGCAGTGCATTTCCCCCACTGTTCCTGTGCTCTTCAATAGGTGGCAGTGTACATACTTTCTGAACTCTTTGCAGAGAGCCTGTGATCTCACACTGTAGGATGTTGGAGGAACTTTAACTATAACGATGCTATATAGGCCTATGTAAACTTTCTCTGGGTCTAGCCCTTGTTTTCCAGTGGCTAATGTTCCCATTTATTTGTGTACATTTTAGCTTAAGTAAAAAACAACATGCCTTAATTTTGATTTCAGTTGTTGCGAAACACTAAAGGACCCTATACGTCATCAGGCTTACATGTGAAATTATATAATGATATAAATAATCACAGCTATAGATTAATGAATCATGACATCACATCTGTAAATGGAGGCCTGTTTTGTTTAGTTCAGCAATCAACATTGAGAAGCATCTATCCTCTCAGCCCAAGGTCATGCAGCAGCTGGTCACACATGCATTTGTTTTCTGTTCCACACATTTAAAAGATGGTGTTGTTATCCGCGCAGCAAATACTCTGCTCCTCTGACCCCATCTTTCATTATTGCACCGCCGGCCGCCTTCTAAACAGACAAGACTTAGCACCGCGGGCTGGTTATCTCATCACACTAATCTGCTATTATCTGATGCAGCAGCTCATGTCATTTAATGCATTTTTCTTTCTAAAAAGCTTTGCACAAATAGCTGTTGGCAACTTTGATTAAATGTGATGGTCTCCCGGGCAGATGATTCCCTTTATGTGACAGTTTCTATGGCGCACACTTACACACCACATCAATACTCTGCAGAGGATTAAGCCTTGACCAAACCAAGTCCAGACTTAACCGGCTCAGAGTTATTGACCCTGTAGAGAGACGCATATCTACGTTTACCCAAGGGCCAATATATTTGATAGTTATGTCCTCTGGGCCGGGTAATTGTACAATATCTTAATAGTTTGATGTCGCACAGAATATCTCAGACACCATATTTAATTCAGTGGGAATTTTATAACAGTATCAGAAGTATTTTGTGAGATAATAACAGCAATATCAGTGCAAACCTAGACTAGACTTCCATCCCTGGGCAGTAAAGGCAAGTATGTAATATCTTTGTTAAATGTCATCTAAATGTTTTATCTACAGCTTAAACTTGAGTTTTAATACAATGGACATGATGGCAATAATGTTTATGTTTACGGTTTTTAAGCAGATTATCCAATCAGAGAGCAGAATGAGGCTCTCAATTGGGTTGCAGGTTTGTCATTCAAAAAGCAGAAATCATTGTGCGCAAGTTTTGAAAGAAATAAACACAGACACCAGTTTCTCATGTGCAAAGTACCGTTTACTTGTCACATTTGGTTCCAAACAGTTTGTAGACACAACAAATACAGACACGGCCCACGCCCTTTCACGCCGACTCTCAAAACAATAGAGTTTAGTCATGAATTTAGTTTTTGAGCAGCAGCAAAGATCAACTCTATCCAACACAAACAACAACTAGAATTACAATGACTTCCTGTGACTTTCTGTCGTGGATGAGGACATAGCACTGGCCACTTAATCAGCCACAACTCTGCTTCACTGATGGCACTGATTTTCAGAATGTAAATGTTGAAATACACATTCTGGGCTTGCTGAAGATTGTTGGACTTGCTCTTTATTTGAATGTTAAAACTGGGGTACTTAACTTTTGTAATATCCTCCTGAATAATGAATGTAGGGTCTCCGGACAGAAAAAGTGTAAAACATGTTGTGAACAAATTGTGGGTTTGAAAGTTAGGTACCTCGGCTTTAAGTTAAATATTTAAATAACTAGACTTACCTAATTGGAGTAATCGTAATTTCTTATTTAAGGCTAGTATTAATGCAATACCCATGTTTGAACTTTAACAACTTCATAATGATCAATGACAGTATGGATCCTTGTTTCTACATGGTTCTCATCCAACATTGCTCAGTAGAAAGTGATTAACTTTTTTCTATTCAATAAGATTTGCTTTTCATGAAGTATTGTTTGAAGTTATGTCCAAATCGATAAACCCAAACAGTAAATAAGGGCGCATTCACACTTACTGGTCTAGTTCACTTTAACCAGAACAGGTCTGGTCTACACACACACTCACTTGTTTGCTTGTTTTACAATCACATTTTTCCGCACAAGTGAATCAGAATGGGTCCAGTCAAAGGAGAAGACATATTATGCAAACATTTTCTATCTTTTCACCATGTAGCAACATTGTTCCATCATCAGAAACAAGCCTTTTAGATCCATCCACGCTAAAATCAGACACTTCTGGC